ATTTGCTAAACTTCGGCATAGTTGTCACCATGTCAATGGCTCCTATGTCCTTGAAAGCCACTGCTCTACACACCTTCACACACGTGACGTGTGACAGGCTCTGCCTCCCTGAAGGTCCATCACTCTGGAGTGACTGAAGATGCACTGGAAAGCCCGCACAGGGCAGGGAATAGCGGCTGAGCTCCAACACCTGTGTCCTGCAGCTGTTGCGATGGTGGCAGGAGAATTGGGGGTCAGTAAGGGCCAGGGAGAAAGGAAGGCTGGTCCCAGCTCTTCCTCGGTGGCACAGTGCTGCTGGGGGCAGGCAGCAGGAGGCTGCCACTGCTGTGTGGTTTGAGGTGTACTTCAGGGGCTGCTCAGACTCCCAGGGTGGACTTATCCTGGGATTGCTGTAGTGGGGACTTGCCGTTTGTGCTCATACCTGGGACCATGGGGTTGTCTGGATACTAGTGCTTCTGCAACAGAAAAGGGAGAGAGGCTTGCAAGTGACCATCAGCCCCACAGCAGATGGGTTCATGCTTGTGGGAGATGCGCATACGCTCTTAGGAATAAGCCTGTGACATCTGCTTTCAGTCTGCTGTAAAGTTTAGTGCTTTTCAGGTCCAGAGCCTTATCCCGGAGAAGCCAGCCAAACAGCATCTCATACTGGCCTACTTTTCATCTCTCCAAAGAACTAGAGAGTAGTTGGCGTTCTTCACTTTTTTATTAACAATTTAAGGACTGGATGACTTTTGAAGTTAACTGAACAGGAGTAGAGATCAAATTATTTTTGTGACACTTGCTGTTAAAGAGTGTTACTGAAACTTCCTAACAAGTACAAAAACATTTTGAGTTAATAAGAATAACATCTGGAAATTACACTAACAAGGAGACATAAGGGGCGTCATCCGTCCTCCTAAATTGCTCTCACTTAGTTTGCAAACTATCCGACTCCCTTAGCAGTACTGTTGCCCAGTTGGCTTCATGGAATAAGAGAGCTTTCTACATTCTTTGCAAGTATCCGGCATTGGACATGATCAGAGGCAAGCTACTGGGAGAGATAGGTCTATGTTCCTAAGACTGTGGATGAGGAAAACAATTTATTTGGAATTTTTCAGCTCTCTACTGCCTTGAAAAATCTCGCTTGTGAACATAAGTGTGCCAAGGTCGTTTCTTATTCGTGGTTCTGTCAAGTGAAAAATGGACCTCAGCAGAAGCTCAATCTGTGTTCTTGCATAAAGCTGAACAGAGTTTAAAGCTATGTGCATTTGGCGGTTCCTGTAGTCTTGGAAAAGCATCCACTTATTTATTCACTTGGTCACAAAATGTACTTTCCTCGTTACTTGTTTTCTTGTCCCTATGGAGATAATTAACTAAGTGTTAGATGAAAAAATAAGGACTGTATGTTTGGATCAGCGCATTGATAATTCTGACCTTTGCTCTTTAGACACCTCATTCATCCATAAATCTTTATGTAAAAAAGAAAATGCACTTTGGGATTCGGAATTTTATAAATTTACTTCTACCAGTAAATCTATCTTGAAAAATAATTATTTTCTTGAAGTGATGCCTGCATTACACTACGTAGACTGCAGCATTAATTTAAAATGGAAAAAAGTCATACTGTGGAATTGTGTCTCGATGTCTACAAATGTGGTTTGTCTAGTTAACTTTTTGTTTAACTGTTGAGGTGAACGTCTTTCTGTTCCGCTTAGGCTACTCTCACTACTCAAAAAACAGATCTTTGACAGACCTTTAATATCAGTTGCTGGTAATTTCTGCCCCAGTATGTCTAACTTGAATGATCTGGTTTACTACTAGTAGAGTTATTTCTTCCCTTCAGTCTAACTGTACATATTGTCATTTGTGTATGTTGTGTTAACCGTGAATTTTCTGTATGCAGGTGTTGGTATTCAGTGCTGTTATTTTCATATTTAACAAAAAAATCATTTCTTTCAATTAATTGATTTTATTTTTATTTTTTTTTAAATGCAAGGTACAGCTTCTGTAACTTAAAAGTTGGCAAAAGTGATCTGTAGTTCTTTTGGAATCTGCCCAGAATTCTTGAAAGTTGGAGGTGGAATTCAACATCTGTATGTCCCAATACGTTTGCAAATTAATTATCGTAGGAGTGAAGGATTTAAGGGACCTTTTGTGTTGAATTTAGTCTTGTGAGCATTTATGCAACTGCTCATTAGACACTCATCAAACCCCACCTTAGAAAAGTTAAATTCATTTGTTTCCACTGTTGGAAGATTTATTGGTACAGTGATATGTTTCTTAATGTCTTGTGTAAATATATTCATGCTTTATTTACGCCCATTGATTTTAGTACCAATATTGAGCCTTAATGTAAACATTTTTTGTGCATTTATAGAGAGAGATGTTTTTTTCCAGGTGGGGCAGGGACCCCACATAAGCCAGGCATTTCTGTTTTGCTTTCCGAACTTAAGTTCTCTGTCCCCCTAAGACTTTGGTGCCCAGGCAGACATCTGGCTATGCATAGATGTAGAATTTGGAGCAGAGTATGACTTTGATGGAGCAGGAAGAGAAGAAGAGAGCAGGACAAGACGCTTACACTAAAGTCCTTTCTGCCAGTAATTGCCATCTTATGTCTGTGAATATCTGGATTTGCTTTAGAAGGACGAAATGACCATTGAAGCACGATGATGTGGTTGGCGTCTATCTTCTCTTCATTTCATAGGACCTGTCTGCCACACTGCAACACAAAACGACTTGAAACAGCAGAGGGACTGAAAAAAAGTAAAAGGCTGGTAGGGTTGGGTTTAGATTAAATTTAGTCTGTTGTGCTGAAATCTCCTTCTGTGAGCAAGCAGCAGGGAAGGTGGTGAGGATTTAGGCCTCAGGAACAGTCATTTAATTGCTGATTACAATCAATTGCTTTCCCAAATTCCTTTCCTCATCTACTGGCACAGTGGTATTTATCAGCCAGTAGTCCAGGGAGATTTCTGTGTAGAAATTGGCTGAAACTCTTGAACCCTGGATCTGTGTGGTTCCATGGATATTGTAAATATCACAGATGAGATGTTGGACTCTTTAATGCCAATGTAAGTTTTGTTAATGACTTGCTAAGGTCAGGATTTCACTTGTGTTTACATACGTGTTGGACTTTCTTTTGGTGGTACTCTGAGGGTGGGAAAGAATTTGATTGTTTATCTAAAATGGTGCTGAATGGATCTCAGACTGATCCAGTGCTGCATCTGGATTCACTTTCACAAGGGACGATGGAACAAAACTCTTGAAAAATTACTTTTTTTTTTAAATTGAAATCAGAAGTCTTGAAAAGCCTCCCATTTTACTGTTTCATAGGAGGGAAGGGCTGGCAACTTCATGTTTTCTCAATTGAAGCAAGTTATCGTATTTTGAATATGCTACTATACTGCTATAGGTAATAATGCAGTCATTATCAAAGGTATGCTGCAAGGCATCATGGGCTGACACTTTCCAATCACCGTGTAAATCTGCCTGACACAGCTTTAAAAGAAATAAAACAAGCCTGAAAGCTCCAGTGTTTAGTCTAAAAACACACATGGCTGCGGTTGCTGTTTTAGCCTACATGGGCTAACTGTGGAAGCCTTTTGTCAGCTCTCTGGCCTACCGAGTGGTGTCAGCTTGATTTGTGTGTTAATTTGCTGACTTTTCGGCTTGATGCTTTTGGTTAAAATTCTCATAAAGAGCCTGTGTGTTTTTGCTTTATTTAGCAGCTTTCCCTAATCTAAATGCTTTTCTGAAGACCGCCCTTGGTATCACTTAAACTAAGAGAAGGCGCTTTCAACATTTGTTCACTGTTGGAATCATTTGTTCACCATTTATGTGATAGTGAAAGGATGGAGGCAGATGGAGAGCCTCGCAAAGTGATGATATAACCAAACGCTGAGAAGAAACACAGTGGCAGTCTTACAAGATCTTTCCCTTATGGAAAAATACTGAATAAAATGATCAGTGGCCTCCCGTCAGCTCAGCATAGTGCCTTCCTGGCACCAAAGCTTGTCCTGTTTAAGTTTAAGGATCCTCCTCACTCCATCTCACATGTCCTTGCTCTTTAGGTCTGGTTTGCTTGGGGAAGATGACTTGTTGCTGGTAGAAGCTGCCAGAAGCCAGGAAGCAGCCCTGGACTGGATCTCAGTCCAGACTTGCAATTAGGATGGTGTTTTGACACTGTTTTTCCTTGCGTGTTGATGGCATGCATGATCGCGTATGATGATTTTCTTGGGGCAGATGAGGTACTACGGACCTTCCTCCCTGGAACAGATCACTTCTAAAATACAAGTTGATTGAGCCGTTTAGCTGGCACTTTAATTTTGGATAGAATAACTCTAGTTCTGTAGAGTTTGTGTGGCATGAATGAGTCCTCTCATGCTCTTCTATTAAGAAGAGATCTACAGGCCAATATATGGGCACCAGGGTGTTTATTTTCAAATAAGGGGTGAAATCATGCTTACTGCATCTCAGAAACTGAAGAGTCATGGCTTGGATGTGTCCCTTCCAAGAACAGCTCCACAAAGCAGTTCCTTGAATCTCTAACATCATCTCTGTTTTTTGAGGCAACACCGATCAGAAGTGCGCCCTCAGGAAGCGGTTGGGGGTGGGTGGGTTTGGTGTCAGATAGAAGGCTTAGAAATTGCCATTGGACTTTTGATAAAAGTAGAAAGATTGACCACTGTTTAGATATAGCCATCAAGTATTATTTCCCTAGCTAAACGAATGTCCCTCTATGCCTGAAAATAAAAAATGGTATTACCCATTATGTCAGCATAATATTGTGTGTTGTTAAATACCTGCCGTACCACATACCTTAAGCCGCAGTTCATGGATGAAGTAAGTCTTTGTCCTGACCTGTTGCTGCAGCTTGAAGCTCCCAGTGATTGCAGTGAAGCTAGGATCAGGCCCATAGTGGAAAGAGCCTCTAAAGTCCTCTGTAACCCATTCAGTATAATTTAAAAAAATCTAGGTTTGTATTTGCCACCACTGAAGGCTATGTCCTGTTTTTCTTTCCACAGGCAGAGTCACCCCAGAACAGCTCAGCTCATACATTCAGCTTTTCAGAAATAATCTCAAAGCTTTGGAGAACCATTGTGGTCTTCTACAGCTTGTGCTGGCCACAGTCCAGACTTTGAAACACCCCCAGACTTCCAAATGGGACAACTTCCTTGCCTTTGAGAGATTACTTCTGCAGGTACATATTATGTGAATTTATTTGACCTAACTAAAAATGTTTTATTTAATTTTTTGAATTCCCATTGAATTCTGTAGCTTGTATTTTTTATGAAGAAGTGTGTTGGATGTCTTGCTAAAAAGCTGTTCCTTATTGCCAAACTGGTGAAAGGAACAGGAACCTACATAGTTAATCTTTTATAGTTTTGTCTCAGAATAATTTTATAAACAAAAGGGTAGACATTAAAGGTGAAGTACATAAATAATCTGAATTGGGTGACAGTTTTACATCCATAAGAAATTTCAAGATGATATAACTTTTAGCATTGGATGGGATTATTATTATTATTATTATTATTATTATTATTGCTACCAGTCTGAAGATGCTTCTTGAGGTAACATGCTGAATCAAATGCAGAGAGGACTTTGTTACTACGTGAGTGTAAAACTTGTGTGATTTACTGAGCGGATGAAAGTATAGTTGGAAATTCCATGCACCAAGAGAGTGAGGTTTCTCTTACTCACAGCTGTGATCTACCCTCAGCTTTTCCCACCGCCACGTTTTTTACGGCATCCTGTTGGTGACCACAGTATTATTTACATACCATTTTGTATCACACTTGGATTTCTTTCAGGAAATTAAGAGTTAGTGGTATATTGAACTCTATCCTACTAACCTTTGGAGATGTACCAAACAAAGGAGGAGTTTTTCTAAGAACCTAACAGAGTTAATTTCTGCTGAAATTCGGGGAAAGCTCAAAACTTTCCTCCCTGTGCTATTTCTTGTGTCATTGTGTTGTTTTTAGAGGATCCATCTTCTGAAATCCTAGCAAGAGGCAAGTCTTGATGAGCTAACTTCTAATTAAGTTAAAGTTGGCCTTAAATGAGTGAACTGTATAGTGTGGACCTCAACTAAAACCAGATACTTCTTTTGTAAAAGTTAGCTGTCTTTGTCTAGATGTCAAAACCAAACCAACAACCAGACTCTTCCCGTGATCTCTGGCAGCAGGATGTAATCCCTGGTCCTTTGAGAAGCCTCAGCTCATACTTCATAGCTTTGTAGTCAATGAATTTCTGAGACTTTTGGGGGGCAAAAAATGCAGAACTTAAATAGTAGCAAGCTCTTGTCTACATTAATTGAGAAAACTATTCTCTCTTGGTAATACTGAAATATCTTTGAATAACATAGGCAGTCTTCTTTCTCTAGTTAATAAACAAACACATCTCAGGTAAAAGAATCACTGCAGCCATTCTTTGGTTTGTCTGGACTGTAGAGCATGCTACTGACAGCCCACAGTCCCATTCTCTCTCCTGCAGTGACTCAAGTCACATAGCTCTTCTCAGAAGCTGGCTAAGTCCCATCTTAAAACCGGTTCAGCTTTAGAATCAAAATAAAGCTGCAAGCTCAGCGTTGTTTTCACAACAACAGGCAGTTGCCTATATAAAAGCCATGCCATAAATCATCAGGGAGTGGAAAAACAGAGGTAAGAAACAACCAAACTATATATTTCACAAAAAAAGAAATGTATAACAAGCACTCTCATAATCGTAGGTGGCTTTGGATTATACCCACTGCCTTCCACCCATCATATTAAGGTAAAATGTGTTAGCCAAAGCAAACGTTCCAGGCTAACATTTGTAACTGTTCCTTAAGCACATGCTCATTTTCAGTAGTTCAAACAACAATTATTCTGAATTACGCAATCTGTACAGCGTGTATCCTTTTACTGACTCTATTTTGAAGACAGAGTCTGACATGCATTATCTGCTTCTGAGCATGCGGCCTGTCTCTGATCTGTTGACAGGGGTTTGTAGCAAAAGCAAAATACTGGGAGACCCAGAAGACATAAGAGATATTTTTATTTCAAAAAAATCAACTAGGACATTACATTGTGAGTGGTTGTTACATAGCACTCTGCACTAAATTTGATGCCATGGTAGTTTATTTCGGCAGGACTACTGAGAAATTCTTTAGCATAATTGTTATGTTTCAGATATTTTAAAATAATAAATCTTTAAAAATCCTCAATATAAAGTAATTGTTTCAACATGAAAGGAGTATTGTTACTATCCTATATTGCAGCCGTGTAGAAGATGACAACAGTTTGTGAAAGATCTACTGGGAGTAATATTATTAGTCTGGGACAGTGTAGGAATTCTAGAGTTTTCACTGATGGATGCATGTCAGCCTTCAGCTGATGCCAAAGGAGATAACCCAGTATAAACAGCTGGTGTTAGAATCCTCAGATTTCCCAAAAAAATAAATCTGCACAGTTTTGGAATTTCCCTCATTACTGGATCTCTCTGATGGGCCTCATGATTCTTTGCTTAATCTACTTTGTGCTGTTCAGAAAAAACACATTGCTGTCATTAAACCTTTAATGTAACCCTTACATTAATGAATGTCTGATTTTTCTGCTGTTTACTCCTTCTTGATTCGTTGCTACTTTCAGTTGATGTTGCAGGTACTCAGTTCTAAAAATGGCCTAGCAGAGGTGGAAAGCAGCCCACTTCCAGTATTTTATCATAATTAGAGATCTGTAACTACCTTTTTCAGGCCTGTATTGTCTCAATACATTTTTTTTACATCTCCAGCAAGGAAATCTGGTCTAGACTAGAAGTCCGCTGAAAGCCAGTGCAGCTGCACGCTTACGGAGTTGTCCTCTACTTAACTGTGGTGGATAAATGGTCTGAGAGTGAAACTGAATTTTGATGGGATCATGGCCTTGACCTCAAAGGAAAGAGGATCGTGTGCTGGGTTATAAGTAATGTGTCAGAATGATTCACCTTCTCGATCACAAATTTTCTCTGTGTTCTGCTGCTCTACCTCTGCACATGATGGAGCTTTTACTACCCAGAAGTTTTAAATGCTTTATGAATTGAGACAGTATATCCTGTTTGCCAAGAATATATCCCAGCCTAGCGTATCTTTCTTCTCTTGAGGGCCTCTTTCCATTTTGCTATTTCTGATCATCCATAAAACTGATAGGTGAGAAGGTCAAAACAAGCTAAATGCTGCACCACACTGCCTGCAGCTCCCCAGTCCTCCTCAAGTCACTGCCTTGCTTTCCTGCAAGTGAGGATTTAAAATTTAGGGAGGTAACAGAAAGTAAGAGTGTTGTCACTCCTCACCTTTCAGCTCTGTTTAGCTATATCCGCTGTTCTCCTCAAAATTACGACTTTCATGGAGGTTTATTAAGCAGTAGAGGGCCATGGAATGCAAAAACAGAAGAAGAGGAGCTCTTTCCAGAGTTTAAACAAAATGTGACACTGTGACAAAAAAAAATATATTAGTATTGTTTTTAACATATACTACTTGTATATTCACCGCGCAGGGATTTCTGCCTCCAAATTCGACATAAAAATACTCAGCAGCAGCAGGCAGTGTGAATGGGGGCATAATGTGCCCCAAGAGAAAGTACCGTTGCTCCATGAAGGGTACTGCTCTGAAATTCCCCGGGTTGGATGCCACCTCTTGGATTTGGCTGCATCCTTTTGGCATAATCTTGTTCTCAAGATTTAAGAGTAAAGTGCTTCTCGTATTGAGTAGCAGTCTATTTTATGAATAGCCCAATCCATTTAAATAGCAAGGTTGAGGTTTATTCAGTCCAAGCAAGTTTATCAGATTGTGTTTCTAAAATAGCATATGAAGTACTTGAAATGCATTTCCCCTCAAATAAAACAAAGATCTCCAAGCAATATAAAATTCTGCTGCCGTACTTTGGAATGAGGCAGAAGAGGGAGGGTTTAAGTTGATTCTGAGTTTCTGTAGGTTGTCATGAACAAAGACACTGTCATGTTGGGAAATGTACTCTTACTACTACCACAGAATCACAGAATGGTCAGGGTTGGAAGGGACTGGGCACCACTGAAAAAAGACTGCTCCCATCCCCCTGGCATCCTCCCTTTAAGTATTTGTATGTATTAATAAGATCCCCCCTCAATCTTCTTTTCTGTAGACTCAAGAGACCCAAGTCCCTCAGCCTTTCCTCAGAAGAGAGATGTTCTAATCTCCTAATCATCTTCGTCGCCCTTTGCTGGACCCTCTCCAGCAGTTCCCTGTCTTTCTTGAACTGGGGAGCCCAGAACTGGACGCAGTACTCCAGATGCGGCCTCACCATGGCAGAGTAGAGGGGGAGGATGACCTCCCTCGCCCTGCTGGCCACACTCTTCTTGATGCACCCCAGGATGCCATTCGCCTTCTTGGCCGCCAGGGCACATTGCTGGCTCATGGTCATCCTGTTGTCCACTAGGACTCCCAGGTCCCTCTCCACAGAGCTGCTCTCCAGGAGGTCAGCCCCCAACCTGTACTGGTGCATGGGGTTATTCCTCCCCATTTCTGTGCGGCAGCAAATTCTGGCAGCACTTGCATCAGTCGGCACTGCATGGCAGCTAAAGGTCCGTTATGTCTTTTCCTCAGCTAATTGTCTGCTGCACATTTTTAAATCCAAGCCTTTCTGCTAAACTGAGTGGATTTAAAATGCCAGGTCCTGCGTGTGCTGTGTTTGGATCCTATGGCAGAACGTTCCTGGTGTAGATGCCTATTTAGTGTTTCTTTCTGTAACATATAATGACTAGTAATAACTTGAACTAAGAGAAAAATGTCTTCCACAATATTATTGGTATTATTTGTTTTATTCCTTACAAACAACTCATACTTTATCAGACAGTTTTTTACATCAGGACCGTTGAAAGCAAACGTCTATTTTGACCTATCCCAAAAAGGGGAGGCGTGTGTTTTGTCTTTAGGATGAGGACATTCCCTTCTTTTTTTGAGATGTCTGGGCTGAACTTAATTTTAAATCTGTAAATGTACCAGAACTGTTATCTTAAAATAATTTCATTGCCAAAGTAAGGAACTCTGAAAGATTACTGAATTAATTGTTATTTGTTATTACAGTGTTGGGGAGGGGATTTTTGCTTCTTGGGGATTTTTTGTAGCACAAAGGTTTTGCACCTGCTGACTAACATTTCACAGCTTACTGGGAAATTAAACAGCTTCAGTATTGACCTAGAAGCCAT